GAGAACCACGCTGAAGCCTTGTAGTCACTGCCCGGGCCTGACGTGGCACCTGTGGGCACTTGAGACATGCTGGCCACTCCTGCTTCTCGTCCTTGTAGACCAAGGTCAGGCAGGAAACAGCGCTCTGGGGTAGACCAGCTGGACACAGCTCACGCCGTAGGCAGGAGCACCTGCACTTCACGTTCCACTCTCCACGGGGCCCTTTCCTGGTCCGAAGGGAGTAGCTCTCAGACACCTCTGCCCTTGCTGGGGTGCAGAAGGGGGCACCACGGCAGACCCTGCTCTCCCAGCCCCCGTCCTCCAGCAGGTCTCAGGGGCCACCCATAGTGTGGCCAGCAGTGTGGCTGGTTTCTCTCATCTTTCTCCTGTCCGGCCCCTGCCTCGTCCTCCTGACTGTGAATTCAGAGATGGGAGATGAGTGTCCTCTGAGCCACTGTGGTTCTCACTTAAAGAGCTGCCTTACGAGGAAGGAGCAAATGACGCAGGTCAGCTCTGCACCTTCCGCAGGTGTCTGGGGAAGCGCTGAACTCAGGCAGCCCTAGTGCAGAAGTGGCAGGTGAACAAGGCTGCCCGCTGTCACCTGCTGCCCCAGCGCCTGGCTCAGTGCCTTGTGGGGGCTCCCTAAGTAAGCGCGTTGAGGTGGGTGCCCCCAGGTTCTCCCCCTGAAGCCGGGCGGGGGTCAGGGCCTGAGCAGGCCTGAGGGCTACAGATGTGCAGCCTGGGGCTCATGCTGGCGTCCTCGTAAGACCCGCATCGTCACTGTCCTTCCCGAGGCCACCAGATGACATCGTTTACTGTTCAGAAACAACGTGGGCATTTCTCTGAGATCTAGGACAGGCCGTCCCGGCTTCGGGGAGAGAGGGTCAGGCCAAGAAGCAGGTCCCACATGTGTGGGCTCCAGAGTCACCGGGCTCTGGCCTGTGGCCGCGGAAAGGATGCTCTTCGCCCATGTGACCTTGTCTCCTTGCTCTTCTCGGGGGCTGAGGGGGTCATCTGGTCGGGGGCCTGGCTTCAGATAAGCGGTTGGGAGGAGCCGGTGGGGTGTGAGCCAGACTGTCCTGGGGATGGAGACGCAGCCTGTCAGTGATCAGGTTGCTCGCAGCTCTCAGACCCTGTCTCCTCACACAGTCCTGCCATTTGGGGCAGTTTCCTCTGATCACAGCTTTCTCCCCTTCTCCCTCCTGCCCTTTTTCCTGTTCTTTCCTTCCCCTTTTTCTCTTTCTCCCCCTTCCCATCGTTTTTTTAAAAAGTGTCTTAAGGATGTCATTAGCTAACAATTTAACGATGCCTCGTTCCAAGGCCTGACTTGGGACGACCTCCTGTCATCCAGCCCTGGAAAGCGTCACGTTCCCCATGTGTCCCCACAGTTCCCCATCTGGAAGACCAGCCACACGCTCAAGTGGGAAGGCGTGTGGCGGGAGCTGGGCTGCCTCGCCAGGACTGCGTCTTTCGCCGTCCGCCAAGAGAGTGGCCACTCACTGAAGTCATCTCTTTCGGTAAGTTCTTCTGTTTGAGCGAGCGTTTAGATCTGCTGCAGCCGAGCTGTACGCGGGGAAGCAGCCTCGGCCGACATCGGGATGCGTGGAGGAGTGTTGCCCATTGGGTTCAGGCTAAAACGGGGCCTCCTGGTCACTTTGTGAATTTGGACAATTACAGACACGACCTCATGTAATTTTTCTCTAACATGGATGGTCACGGGAAAAGGTGTGCCTAAGAGCTGACTGTGCCGTTTGATTGAAAGCTGGCTGAGCTGACGTCAGCCAGGGCGTGGAGCTGCTTGAGAGAACGAGCCGCATGCCCGGCGTCACCTCCCGCCTCACAAACGAGAGCTGTTTGTTCAGCCTCTCAGTTCCCCGGATGGCACACGGGGATGTGGATAGTCCTTTCCTCACGGGGTTCCCCTAAGGATGCAGTGATGTCCGGGGTGTGACGTGCTTGGCGCAGGCCGGCTTCCGGTCTGCTCAGTGAGGGCTGGCCGTCGCTCTATAGACCTGTCGGAAGTGAAACCCCCAGTGCACATCTCTTGCAGCACGCCATGGTCATCGACTCCCGGAACTCGTCCATCTTACCCAGAAGAGGCGCTTTGCTGAAAGTTAACCAGGTGACTTTCCTCCCCTGACCTCTGCGCACTCGGTGACCCGGGGGACGGGGAGTCGTGCAGAGTAGTCACTTTCAACACTGAACGTTTTCCTTTAACGGTAAAAATCTTTCCGGAATGGCCGGCAAGGGTGTCAGTCCACCTTTGGGGGTTCCTGCCTGGAATTGTCCCCCCATAGTTGAGTCTTCTGCCTCCACAGAGTGCCAGGGAGGATAAGGGTCTGGCCTCCTTGGCGGTGTCACTGACATAAATGGCCAGGAGGAAAGTTATGATTTGGTGAGAGTGAGTTCCCACCTCAGGGCTGGCCCAGACCAGTGATGTCAGGGAGCGAAGCTGGCCAGGTGTGTGCAGCCCTGACGCTCGGGTCGCCTGATCATCAGTTTCAGAGGAGCCACAAGAACTCATATTTGTATATGAAATGTGCCAGGTTGTAAAAGATTGGCTTTTTGCGCGCGCGTGTGTGTGTGTGTGTGTGTGTGTGTGTGTGTGTCCGTCCGTGTCCGTGTGTCTGTCCAAGCACTGAATAGGCCAGACAAGCCATATCATCCATTGCAAGCTCTATAATACAATGCTCACGTGGCCAGCGTTTTTCTCTCTCAGGGCTCACACGCTCTGTAGTTATTCAGTGTGTTTCATGATTCCGTGTCTCCGTCAGTCCCCTTGTATCGTCTAGACCAGGGGTCGGCAAACTGTGGCTCGCGAGCCGCATGAGGCTCTTGGGGTACGTTCCGTCTCAAAAGTTTGCCGACCCCTAGAAGAGCCAATCCTGTCCCTTATAACAACTTAAAAATTATTTGAGAGCCATAAATATATTTTACATAATCACCATTATGTGACTAATATCCCTTAAAAATTTTATAAATGAAACGATGATAGTTTATTTTCATTTTCAATTTGACTTCAGAGCCACATGTATGTACCCAAAGAGCCGCATGTGGCTCGCAAGCTGCAGTTTGCCGACCCCTGGTCTAGAACAAGTTGGATACAGTTTCTAGGAGACAGAAGTGGGCCGCTGCCTTTCTAAAAATACAAAACTGCCAAATAAAATGTCATTGCAGTGACGTTGTTAGGAACCTGTGGAGTAGGCCTGCTCCATTTTGACCTGTGAATCCTTCCCCCAGGAGCTGGCAGGCTACACCGGAGGTGACGTGAGCTTCATAAAAGAAGATTTTGAGCTGCAGTTGAATAAACAACTCTTACTCGATTCAGTGAGTATCCAGCCAGAAGGTTGTCACCTATATTTTTATCCCTTGTGTTTGGAATCCCCGTCCCGAGCCCCGAGCATCCGAAACACTGAAGTGGCAGCCCAGAACATTAATGCCTGACACTGAGGTGTTTGATCTTTTAAACTTGGCCAGACTGAAGGCTTTCTGGGCAGAGGTGGTAACTGTCCTCTTTTAAAGGAACCTGTCAGTCCTTTTACCCAGGACTGGCGGCGCGCCCCTTCCCTGGGGCCGTCAAGGAACTTGGCCGAGGCCAGAGGAATGCCACCCCCTCTGCCTCTCCTAGGGCCACGTCTGTAGAAATCTGGAGCCTTCACCTCAGTTGGCTGGGTCTGCAGGGCTCTGGGCGCTTCCAGGGAGTTTTACAAGTCTTTCCTCCATTTGGGTTTAGTTTCTCCTGACTCACTCAGGAGTGAGGAGTAAGTGACCAGATTCCGACCGAGGCAGATGAGCCCCCGGCTTCGGTCCAGTCTTCCCAGCGACCGGGTGACTGGGGACAGCTCTCCGCCCCACCGCTGCTGCCTGAGCCCTTAGCTTCCTTCAGACTTGGGGGTGAGGACTGAGTTTTAATGAGAGGGCACACGCACCTATTTCTAGACAGTTTATTCTGAGGTCACGTGTCACCGCTCCTGGCTAGTCCCGGACTCAGTGCGCTTTGAATTTGGTTCCCCTGCCACTGCTCTCCCAGGGGCCCCCCGTTGTCCAGTTCAGTGAGCGAGCTCTTCCCGTCCCCTCCCTGCCCCCCGCCCATGGCCCTTGACACTGTCCTCGTCTGACCCCATCCTGACCCCTGTGCCTCCAGCTTGAGTTTCCCCGCCTCGGGGCCCTTTCATGGCTTGGTGCACTTCCGCCTCGTGAGTGTGTCTCCCCAGACTCTCGTGGAGTCTCCTGGTCTCCCTGGGGGAGCTCGCCCACTCTGGCTGCAGCTGTCGTCTCTGAGCTGAGGTCCCCAAAGCGCGCCTGGCTCTCCTCTGGGCCCCAGATTCACGTGCTACTGGACTTGAGACTCTGTTTCTTACAGACACTTCAAATTCAACATGTCCAGACTTACTGCCCTCTGGGAATCCGCCCTGGCCCTGGGCTCCTAACCCCACGGGCCTGCACAGCTGCCCTCCCAGCTGCCCTCGATCTTTCTGGCTGCTCCCAGTCCTCACCCTCAAAGCCCTCGAGCAGCAGGTCCTGTCTTTTCTGCCCTGCAGCGTCCCTCGTCTCCCGCTACTCTTTCTCACCGTGGCAGTGATGTCACTTTCGGGTCCCCATCTCTGCCCCCCTGCCTGGGTTGCAGCCCCGCCAGCCTGCTGCTTGGTGCCCAGACGGGCCTCTTACTTCTCGGCACTTGCACTTTGCCCTCCGCCTTTTCTCAGCAGCTCGCTTGGCCTCCTGTTCACAGGCTTTCAGCCTTTAGCACAGGTGTGTCTCCTGCAGGCCCTATCTGACCTCCCAGACCCAGGTGGGAGCTCCTCCGCTTCCTGTAGCTCTGTGCTGATCTCCAGGTGTCGCCCTTCACCCGCCCGCCCACCCTTCACGTGTATACCAGCTGCCAGGCGCTCTCTGGGCACTTAACTTATTTCATACTTCAGTCAATAAAACGCAACTTGTGTTCTCTCTGGTGAAGGGAGACCCACAGGCAGATAAGTGGGGACGTCATTTAGCAGGTGGTAAGTGTTACGAAGAACAGTGAAACAGAGTAAAGGCATCGGAAGTGGCCCAAGGGAGGTGCTGTCTTATTGGAGATAGGTAACCCGGGAAGGCGTCTGGTGAGGCAGCATCTGCACACAGCCTGGGGCAAAGTGAGGGGGCCAGCCATCGGCCATCCAGGCAGGAGCCCCGGCCTGTTTCCGGATGACCCTGGCTGCTGGGACCCAGCAGTGAGGAGGTGGAGGAGGGAAAGCAGCGAGGGCAGAGGCTGGGGCAGCCATGGGAACCCCTGAGAAGAACCTGAGGGGGCGTGGCACCTGCTTGAGACGGTCACTTGGGTCCTGTGGAGAGCAGGTTGGGGGGCAGCAGGGGTCGCAGGAGACCAGTGGGGCCCCAGCGGCATGACCGGGGAGGGCTGGGAGCTATAGACTAGCAGTGGACGGTGATCACGCGTGTGTGTGGGTGCAGCGTGCAGGCAGAGCTGATGCCTCAGCTGTGGGGGTGAGAAGGAGTGGCAGGTGCGACCCTGAGATGTTGGAGCCTGAGCATCTGGAGAACCCAGGTGCCCTTTACAGGGTTGGAAACCCAGGGAAGCGCGGGGCCAGGGGCGAGCCCACGCTCGGTGTGGACAGTGCCTGATGGGAGCGTCGAGCTGGCAGTGAGGTGGTGAGGGGAGAGGCCGGGCGGCATTACAGAAAGGCGCGTTGTCTGCGTAAAGACGGCATCTCAGCACCGGGCGGGTGGCGCTCCAGCATGAACAGAAGTCCCAGGGCTGGGCCCCAGGCCCCTGGCCACACTGACATGGAGAAGTCGGGAAGAGGGCGTGAGTGGAGGAGCACAGAGAGAAGGAACGCTGGTGAGGGGCTGAGAGGAGGGCGGGGGGCGGAGGGCGGGGGCACAGGGACTGGACCAGGCGGCCATACGTCCCCCCAGCTTGGGAACCGGCCTTTGGATGCTCGTGTGATGGTCACTGCGAACCGGGGTAGGAAGAGCATTGAGGAGACGAAAGTCTCGGGCGTGTGAAGACAGTGGCTCGGTGCAGGGTTGTCTCCTCATGGAGGAAAGGGACGTTCGTGGGAAACTGGTGACTATTCCACAGCAAGATGGTTATTCAAACCCGAGAGCACGCGAGAGGAGAGGGCTGAGGACAGACATGACGAGGGCCCCTCTGGGGAGCAGGGAAATAGGGTGGCGTGGGGCGAGGGCTGGTTTTGCCCTCGGGGTCAAGCCTCTTACAGCCCGTTTGTGTGCGGGCGGGAACAATCCAGTGAGGGAAGTGGGGGTCTGGAGCGGGGCCACCTGGAGGGGTGCTCCACAGAACAGGCCGGAAGGCCATGAGTGGGTGGGCGCAGGTGGGGTGACGTGGGAGCTCTCGGGAGCCTGTGTCCTCAGTGAAGGTGGAGGCCAGGCCCTTGGCGCAGAGGGAGGAGAGGATCAGGTGTGGAATCACTGTCGGGGTGGGGTGGGGTGAGTGGGTAGGAAGCTCTAAGGGCCTGTTAGAGGTTAGAGTCCGAGTTTAAAGGAGCCTAGCATGATGGCGTGTTTCCCAGCATGTGCAGCCATGCAGGGACAGCTGAGAAAGTGGACAGGTGGGGTTAGCCGGGCTGGGGTGTTGCAGGAGAGAGACACAGACAGGTGAGTTTTACTGGTGGGCCGTGTCATTCCAGCTGCTGAGGAGGGAATAAGGACGTGAGAGGACCAGGAGGAGGGCTCGTAGGTCCTGCTGGTGTTGAAGACTTGGGGAGTTGGTGCTAGAGGGGTGACTGGGAGCCTTGGGCTCTCGTGGTCACTGAGGTCAGCGGGGATGTGAGGCAGGGTGAGACTGTTCCGCGTGGGTAATAAGTTCTAATTGCCGCCCCGTTAGGCCTGCTCTCAGGCGGTGGTGACGGTTAGGCCGGGAGAAGTGGGAGGAGGGTGGGCTTGCCAGGAGAAGCAGCTCTCACTCCCTCCTCTTCCATCCTGCTGAGGGTGGCATCAAGGCCATCTCCCTGTGACGTGTGAGCTCTGTGGGCCCTGCAGCCCTGCTGCCGCGGCGCCAAGCCGGAGGAGGGCGGGCCTGCTCTGTGGCTCCCATCTTGGTCTGACCAGAGCAGTGAGGCGCCTGAAGGGGGCTCGCCCAGAGCACTCACTCTGAGCCCCGGCCCCTCGCTTTATCCGGTAGCATCTGTCACACCGCCAGGCTCAAAGTCGGTGTTTCCCAAATGTTGCTGAACAAAGAGCTGAATTTATCAGAATAGAAGTTTCAGTTTGGCCTGCTCTGCCCACTCGCAGCCCCAGTTTTCATCTGTAAACCTTCCTACTGAAGCTTCTAAAAAAGAGAGATCTCAGCAGCTTCACAGGACATATTGATTTGCAAGTCAGAGAGAGGACATGAGATGAGCAAAAACGAGGACGCGTGCTCGGGAGATACGGGGTGTAGTGTGATGAAGACACGGGGTGAGAGGACAGCTCGCTGTGGCTTCAGCACTGTGGGGTATGGTTTGTGCTGTGCGTTGCTTAGGCGTGAAGATCCATCTCTGATCCAAGATTAGGTCACTGCCCCTGACCTGTTAGAGAAGGGCTCTGCCTGAGGGTTGGATTGGAAGCTGTGTCTGCATTTCTTATCTGGAGCGTTGTAACCTCTGCCTCCTTTCACCTGAAATGCCGCGTGCCCTTAATCCTCCATCGTTTTGAACCCAAATCAGAGGTCTGAGCAGATGCAGACCCTTCCCCGGGCCCCAGTCTCCCTCAGCCATCCGCCATGGCTGCTGCTGGGTTTGGCTTCTCCCCGTCGAAGAGGGAGCTGCCCTGTGTTGAAATGGAAGCCGTGGCTCCGCCAGGGCTTTGGCTCGTTTCTGGCTTGTTTGGTATGCCTTTATTTGACATTCGGAGCTGCAAGTTTTTCAGGTAGCCACAAAACACTTTGAGCTGCGCTTCTTCCATTGTCGGAGCCAGACGTTCTCCTGTGGGTCTGTCCCCCACCCAGCGCTCTGCACGTCGCAGACACTCAGCTTGTGGCCAGTGACCAGACCTGGCTGCGTTTTCTCCCTGCTAATAATGCTCATTGCAATGAAAGAAACACCAGACGAAAGCGGTTGCTTGTTTATATCTCAATAGGTTTTTTCAGCCTCTCTCTGGGGTGGAATGCTGGTACCCATTGGTGATAAACCGTCAAGCATTGCTGACAGGTGAGTTTTAATCAATGACCAGGTCATTTGCATGTCTCCCTTTGACTCTTCTTGGTTGGTTTCTTATAAGATGTTTTAGAGAAGTTTATTTAAGAGGGCAAATATTTCAAATTTTACTTTAGTATTTATGCTTAAGCTAATTTCAAAATACCTGGCATACCTCATACTTAATCTTTTTTGCCTTTTTGGGAGGAGGTAATTTACTTTATTATACTTAAAAAAATTGTATTCTCTTTTCAATATGAAAGAATGCAGTTCATACACGTTATGGAAATATAAAAATGGAGAAACATTTAAGTAAAAAAAAAAATCTTGCTCAGTGATAAGTGGAGTCAATATTTGGAACTACTTCCTTTTAGACTGTTGTTTTGTGGATGTGTGTTTGTATGTATATTCATATTACTGTTATACACATCTGTATTAACCTATACGTCTATATTAAATTGTTGATATACTGTATTTTGTGTGCAGGTATATGTCCTCCCTGCTTTTTAAAAAGTTTTAAAGAAATTATAGAGTAAACCGCTCCCCAGATCCTGAGAAATTTTTCATAAGCAACGTGTTAACATTTCATTATTGGCACATAAATATGACTTTGAAGAATGTGACTTTGTCAATAATTTTTGTTCGTTTTATTATCTGACGAGGGATTCCTAAATGTGGAATTACC